GTCGTCCAAACCATAACGTAACAGGAGCATACCCAGTAGTCCATTTTACAGTTATATTTTCAACAAATATGGCATCTCTGAGATAGACGGGCCATGTTGACGGCTTGCCAGCACACCATTTTGGTAGCAAATTTGCCCACGTTCGACCGGAGCATTAGCCTGGGGGTGCGCTCTAGTAGTATAACTATAGTTCACTCCCAGCCTTTTCATGAGAATCTGAACCTCTTCGGCCCGAAATTCACCGCCTCGATCCATCACAAATTCCCGAACAAATGGATACCGAAGGTAAAACTCTTCGATACATTCTGCCAGAATCTTCCCGGTTCGCTCACGGATTGCACGCTCATCAACGAACCCGGTAAGATTGTCTCTCGTATCAAAAAATGTATCTGCACCAATTGAGCCCGGGTGGCATAACGACCAGGTCAAGGTGCACAACCGCACCTCGCTCAACCACATACCACGGATTGAGAGGCTCGACATAACGGAGATTCGAACGTTTCTGACAGGGGACACACGAGTTGCAGAATTCCACCACCATCTTACCCATGCCATCCCAAAAATAGAGATGTTGGATCTTTCTTAATGTCACCCGTGCAGATCGATGTCCGCCCGCTACTCCATTATGTAGAGCCGCAATCACATCCAATTGTTTGGGAACCCCACATACTACTCTCTTAGGCATACCATCGTCAGACCTTTTGAAAAGATGCCCCTGTCGAATGACAAAATCCTTTGCGTTTTCTCTCATTTCTGACTCTATCTCTGGTTCATCCAAATCCCCGTTCAACCAGAGCCCAATCTTCTTATAAATCCCATCATATTCTTCCTCACGAAAGGCTTCTTTGATTTTACTGCCTTCCCCTTCTTCCAACATTAGCTTGCCACGATCTTCCTGTATCAACGAATTAACGAGAAATATCATTCCTCCAGAAATCTTGAGGACTTCGTCGCCTTGCTCATGTCCCCCTTCAATCGTAAGGGGTTCTTCCGAAGTTGTACTGGGTCAGACAATGTCAACCTCATCATTTGTTCCGCGGACCGTTTGCCCCAGGGATCCTCTTCAGTAAATGACTCTCTCATCACAAGTTCAGAACGCTTCTAATAACAACTCGCCGAACTCCAGATAGACTACCCAGGTCGGGACGAAGCATTGCTAATATACTCCCAAACATTGATACTCAATTGTTGCTCGTCCGTTTCCAGAAATCCATCCACAGGAACCGAGTCTTCTGCCTGATCTTTCGAGGAGTCCCACTCGATCCGACTTAGTCCATCCGCTCGATTTTGTGATCCTACAATGCGCTCGATCTCGAAATCGAACATCCAGATATAAGTCAACCATCGAGCGATAGCTGGATCCGGGGGGGAATAATTCTTCAGTGACTGCGCCAAGGCAGTCGGATCAACCCGCCGGACGAACCGTCTTCCAAACACGTAATTTCGGAAGATCCTAAAACAATGAAGCACTGCAAGGGTTTCCTTCTTAAATTGGGAATATTCCCGTTCCGCCTCATTCAACGTTCGACTTTCAAATCTCAATGACCTTTCTCGCCCTTCTCCATCCTTTTGGATGAGGACTCCGCCCAATGCTGTGGGGCCTGCATCCGTTTCAACCACAAAGGGCCGATTCGGGTCATTGTCAAAGCACGGAACCCCAGGATCAATCCTCTTTCTCGGAATTGTGCCTTGATGTCGTGGACAGCCCCCTACTGCTTTGGACCCCATTCCCATTCTTGATTTTTACGCACCAACTTCCGTAGGTGCTCCACCCTTGATGCAAACTTGCGAATGAAGATGTGTCAGAATCCGCAAGTCCCCAAGAAACTGCGCACATCAGTGATGAACTTAAGCGGAGTCGGCCATTCCAGAATCTTGTTTGTCTTTTTGGAGTCTGGTCGACGGCTCTTCTCATCGCATAAAATGCCCAAGATAGTCGCCTCACGCACACAATGTCGAAATTTGACACCGTTGACGGTGAGGTTGTACTCCTTCAGCTTGGACAGGATCTTCTCCACGTTACGAACGTGCTCCCAAACAAACTTTCGAACGCCTGGCAGCACCTCCGTCTCGTCCTTGACACGTGGCCCAGGTATGGCCAAATCATCGATATAAGGTGAAGTCACGTCCGGATAAAGCGGCTGCATGACCCTCATCATATACCTCTGAACAATTGCTCCGGCGTTTGTCCATCCTTGAGGCGCCGAGCACATATGAATCAATCCTCTCAGTGTATGCATGGCAGTCATCGGCCTGTCTGCCGTATAGAGAGGGAATTGATCATACCCCGAGTACAAGTCAATGAGAGTGATGATAGGTCTACCTGCGCACGATTCTAACAGCTGATCGGCATGTGGAAATCCTCCGGCATCACGAACCGTTACTGAGTTCATCCTCTGCAAGTTCTGCACCCATCGCAATACGCCACTTGGCTTGATAAAACAAAACCAAGGGGACGCATATGGTCCATATGAGTAATCCGCGACCTTTATTCGAATTTTGCCGTCCAAATATTCAACGACTCTACGATGATCATCCGGATTTGGATAACGCGGACCTCGTATGTTCCATGGCTCGTGAGGTACTGTATGAATCCTGATCATTGGAATCATATCAACATCAAGCCTCCCTCGCTCATCATCATCGAAGGCATAAGCCAAATGGGTTTTCTTCATGACGCTGACAAGGAAGTCCACCTCCCTCTCAGTAAGAGACCCTTCCTCTCCAATGATCATATTCTTAATCCTCTCCTCCGTCAATCGACATGGCGCCTTCATACTCTTTTCCTTCCTCATCCTCATCCATTCTCTTTCTTCTTTATAATACACTTCTTCTTCTTGCGTGATCAAGACGGGCACTGACCGAGCTTTCTCGCCTACTCTCTTGTACTTACGTTTCGCTCCAACTCCAAGTCGTCCACCTCTAAAAAAGGCCCTTGCTTGGCTGCTGGCTCCGTCAATACATCACCTTCCGAAGACCTGTCGAGCCGATAAGTAAGATACATTCTACCAGTCCCGCCTTCTCCTGCCACAATCTCTGTCAGCGTTTGGACCAACTTGGGGTCCACGGACGAGTCTGTCGCAACGAACTCGATCGCTTGAGAGATGTTGGGCAGAGCAAGAGAAAATTTATGGGGATCGCTCTCCTCTCTGAGGGATTCCTTCTCCCTTCTGAGTCTTTCGAATTCCGTGAAAGAATAGGAATACGGATTGAGTCGGTTCCTTGAATTGGTCGGTCCTGTGTTCTCACACTTCATCACCTCGTAATAGCCACATACGGGGTCACACAAGACCACGATCATAGTACCATCATGCTTGTTGAAAATGATGGATTCTGATCGACAGAGGAAAGCTCTGCCCAGCAACACGGCATGCTCAACCCTGGGTAGCACGTAGAAGTAAGAACGGACTTTGACTTTACCAACTTGTATCGTCACGTCACTCGTCGTTCCGCAAAAGGGAGTTATCCCACTTGCACACACCAGAAATCCAGTATCCGCTCGATTGATGTTGACGCCTGCCCCCAGGGCTTCTCTTTCACGTATAATGTTCATTTCAGCTCCATCGTCGATGAGAGCCGAGTACTCACAAGGCCCAACTTGCACCTTCAACAACCCAGTTGCTACACAGTGCCAATCCATTTTTGTCCCTGGAGGAGCCCAACTAATCTCTTGAGGAAAGATATCACTCATCTTAACCGTCATGACCTTTTTCCTTGACAATCGATGTCTGAACTCCTCTCGAATTTTAGGAGACGCAGCCAAGAATTCCTTCAGCGTGAACAAATCGCGTTGACTTTCCAAAATCCGATCCACGATTTACTCAATATCTAGCCCTTGCTCCACTGGGATGGTGTAAACTTGCTTCTTCTTTTTCATCTCTCCTTCCCCAACATCGGCCTTGCCCATTTCTGGCTCCCTCTCCATGGCCCGTTGTTTGGCCTGCCGCTCATCCTCGGCCCGCAACAATTCGTCCTCCTAGCCATCGTCTTCCTCAATCGCAATTGTCTCGCTTTCCCGAGGCTGAATTTGCCCTTGGCCGCGGCGGCCTTTGAGCCCTCCGAGCCTGTGGGAAGCCAGCAGTGGCAGGCCGCTTGAAAGCAGGACGGGACAGGATCGTGATGGCCATCAAGCGCCCTGCCGACGGCGATCCAGGCTGTGATGCGGTAACATCAGTAAGACCTCCTTGGCCGTCTCTGTCCCATCCTCCAAACAGAAAAACTTGTGGAAGCCCGGGCCACTCTTCATCATGTCGGCACATATTTGAACGAAAGTTTCCCTGCATCGAGTCATTTTTCTGACCACTGTCTGAGCTCGCTGCAGTATCTCTTCCTGCTCTTTGCTCAACCCTTCACCTGCGGCCTTGGCATCTTCAATTGTCAATGACTCCATCGCCGCTTCCAACTCAATCTGTTCGACTTCTTCCGGGGAAGCCAGTCGAAAAGTTGCTGGGAAATCTCGCCCCATACGTCGGAAGGCTTCCTTTCTCATTCCTCCCTCCACATTGGGATCGATGAGGTTCCCTTCGAAGTCGTAGACCTCGCCTCGGATATTCGTATATATAACCTTATCATTTTCATCTTTGGTAATGGTCTGACAAAACCGTATTCCATGCCCATCTTGGCCACAATACTTGCAAAACCAATTCTGCCAATTGCCTCGGCCGCCCCCAAGTGCCTTGTCCTCTACCTCGACCTCGGCCTCGGCCTCCTGCCTTAGGTTGGGGTTGCTGAGGAGGGGCTTGCGCCATCTGTTCTTGGTTACTCCCTTGTCTACCTCCTCTATTATTCTTTCGTTGC